GGGGGGGGGGGGGGGGGCGTGTTGTGAATTGTCAGCACAACATCCCCTGTTCCACCCCGATGAGTAGATCCAAAATCGCAGCAACTTTACCTCTATTGTAGAAGATGAAGCATGCTTGAGATGAATCAATCCAGCAAGGAAACAGTGTTGCTTCCATAGTTAGCAACATGAGGCACAATAGAAACGTTACCTCTATGCAAGCAATGCCTTCATGAGTAGATCCAACATCATAGGAACTTCACCTTTATGCAAGCAATGCAGCATACTTGAGAGGGGGTTACCTAACAATGAGACAGTTAGCAATATGATAGACAATAGATCAAGTATGCCATTTTCTTGACTATATTAGTATATTGAACTATATTCACCATTATTATTGTTGGGAGGCCTCCCAGATTATTTGTTCTTGCACACCCCTCTTACTGTGCCTCTCGCGTACAAGGCTGTCCACGTTGATGATGGTTAAGCGCCAGCTGCCCACAACCCCGTGTCCCTTAACGGTCCACTTGCACGTTATGAAAGGAGTCAGAGTAAAAGGAGTGACTTGTATTTTGTCTGTTCTTTTAGTGAAGCTCATTCATATGCGTTTATGAGTAGTGCACAAGAAGAGGGAGTACACAAGGGGAGGAAGAGGAAATGGGGTTAGAAAAAGGGGGGAGAGAGAGAGAGAGAGAGAGAGAGAGAGAGAGAGAGAGAGAGAGAGAGAGACCGGAGCAGACCATTCTCAAAATGACATGAGAGGTCAGTCAGTTTTGAGGCTGCTAGAGATTTTGTGTTAGGGAGTACCCGTGGGCTATGGTAAGAGGCCACCCCTACAGAGTGGACAGCGCCAGTTCGGGTGTGGACTGTGGAAGCATCACATCCAAGTCTCGCAGTCGCAGTTGCTGCAGCGAATGGCTCGACATAAGCAAATGTCACAGGCCGCATGGCTCCCACATGTTAGGAACACAGAGGGGCGCCGGCTGCAATTGTAGAGGCATTGCCCTTCGATTCCCTGTCTACAAATTGGACATGACATGTCAGGGTGTCGTACGTGAGTACAATATTGACTGTCATCATACGTGTGAAAACGAAAAATCGCATGAGCTGTGCCTTCATAATCCTCACGACACAATGCATGCAACCCACATGCTAACCAGATCTCAGGTGAATCATCACAGAGCGGCATTGAGCAGGCGTCTTGGGTTCCCTCATTATTGAGTCCTTCTCTATGGGCAGATGACGACGTCGGTGGTGGGAGGGGGTCAGCCAAAGAAAGGGCATCGAGCTGGTGCAGGATTTGGTCCGCAACAGTTTGCCCTGGTGGTGTAAGCCCTCCTGTGTGTGTGTGTGTGTGTGTGTGTGTGTGTGTGTGTGTGTGTGGGTGTGGGTGTGTGTGTGTGTGTGTGTGTGTGTGTGGGTGTGTGTGTGTGTGCGTGTGTGTGTGTGTGTGTGTGTGTGTGTGTCTCCGTAGAGCAAACAATGGACTGGTAGCATTTGGAAGAAGGTCAGACTTAAATCCCACGCAGCCATGTGTATGTGTAATAAAATACTGCACGACCCTGTGGGAAATGATTGTTCCATTGTAATCCATCCACATATCGACAATCTCCTACAGTTTTGTCCACTTCAAGAAAATTGACTTTGGTAAAGCAAACTAAAAAATAGAAGGGCTTCACCAGCTCTGGCACGCAGAAATAGCCATGTATGCCTGACCTTCTTGTTGCCATAAATGTCTCTCCTCGCCAAACCCACTCAAGCTTCCGCAAGCATGTTTTCTCTGGCCTGTTGAAGTCGCAGGCAGCACATACATCATCTGTGACAATAGAGGGAGGCTGCTCCCATCACCCACACACACACACACACACACACACACACACACACACACACACACATTTAAAGGTCAGTCTGACCAAGGTCATTCCGTGTATAACAATGCACACAGATGAGGAAACAGAGCTCAGTACACACATTCACGGCTTGTTTTGGATTTCAGGCTGGGCACAATATCAGTCTGAGAAAGCTAGGCGAATGCAACCATTAATATGGGGATTAAATTGATCAGCCCAAAAAGCACAAACCTTGGATCATGCCCATGAAGCACATTGCTTCCAGAATAGTTGTTCACCACCCTCATTTACAATCAACATCTTGGTGGAAAGCCTGACATGTGGAATCCGTCTTGCTGCCATCTCTGTCATCGCTGTAATCACTGTGATGATTGTGTGATCACTGCCACGACATGTCCTGTGACAAGTTACAGCCTCGGAAGTTGGGGACAACGCGGAAGACAAAAATACCACCCTGGAGTCCCTGTTATTGCTCCAGATCGTAGTAGAGGCTGGATGCTAGACCCCGGGAGGGGCCTGCTGTTGTACTCGACCAGTGGGGAGATCAGATGGCTTGTGACAGCCCCGAGGACAGTTTCCTCCAGGGGGCATCATTCCTCAACTTTTTTTTTGTCCTAATCAGATCGCAAGTCCAGCCCTACAGCGGTGTGACCCAGACCTGCCTCTGGACCTTTCATAATTTAGGACGAAAGATTTTCAGCGAGTAATGGAAAACTACTAAGCTTCAAGCATATTTGTTTTAGGGTTCACAATTTAGGGTTCGAAATATAGACTGGACAGCTGTACCTTCTCTATGCAGCCCACATGGGCCATAGAATCAGGCAAATGTTTTCCAGTCTTCACCGTCTAGGGCCTTGAAATAGCCAGCCTCAACATGCTGGCTATTCAACGTGTTGGAAGTGACCATTGAACGAAGTTAGCAGACGGGGAAGACCCATGCACCCCCCCCCAAGTCCACTACCCCTGCCCACCTCTTCTTCCCTCCTCTCTTTTCCCCCTTCCACCCTAAGATTAGGGGTTATTGTAATGAACCCAGTCTGTAAGATACTCGCCAGATGTCGAAATACAAAGTAACTCGACTCTGAACAATGTCTCCAATAATCATAAATGTGATCTCTGACCTCGTTTCCAGTTAGACAAAGAGAATGGAGGGGGAATAGACAGAATAGAAGGTGGAAGAGATAGTAACCATCAATGACAACAAAGAGAGTAGCCCAACATTTCCCACTCCTTCTCCGGGCTTCCCCTCTCCTCCACGTCAGCAAAACAGTATCCAGTAACGAGCCTGACAAATCCTGATCACATCGAAGTGCCACGTGGCACAGTTCTCTCGTGAAGACGTTGGAGCAATCAGCAGCGCACAGTATCGACATCACCCGCAGGTAAGTATCCCGTTCCCTCTCAATCATCCACAGATCCCGATCTCCCACCTTGTCGCGCCCAACTCAGCAATGTAGACAATGTGGCAAATGCTATGTCAGCAATGAAGACAGAGTGGCATGCCCCACATCAGCAATGTTGAAGACAGTGTGGCCCTGCGCCACGTCAGCATAGGCTGGCGCCAAAGCAGAAAGGCGCCAGCATGCAGCTGCAATCTCGCGTCGTCCACAGTGCCAGCGTACAGCCAGCGTCAAGCCAGCGTCCAGCTAGCGTCGTCAAGGCATCATAGCAAGGCTGAAATGTTGACTCCCTGGAGGCCAGGCATTATGTAATGTTTTACAAGGCTGACCGGCCTCAGGTCTCCCACCCACGGTGGCTCAGATTGACTCACAGCCAAGGGCCTGGATTGCGTACAGTTGTAGACTTCCACTTGGTCCTGATGCTGTCTTGGTACCTGCATACAAACAAGTGTGTGTGTCTGACCGGCGGCCTGGGCTGGGTGCATGCAGAGTTTGACTTTTGGGCCACTGGGCAGCTGACCGTGGTCAACTGTCGGATGCACAGGCCCTGAGCCTACTTGGGGTTTTCCTCCCCCTTGACCCCTGCGGCCTCAGAACGGGGTCGAGGCCTGTGTGTGGCCCTCAGGGCATATTGAGCGGGGTATTGCATTATTATTATTATTATTATTATTTCTCTACTCCCTTGGAACCCGGAGTGGATGTGCCCAAAAATGTGCGGTATGGAGTTGAGTCTTTACTAGCCCTTCGGATTCACAGTTATAATTTTATTAAGAAACCTTTTAGGCGCATATAAATTATCACAGAAGGTGGCTCCGCTCCGCGAAACTATTGACGGTACCTCACTTGAAAAACTTTTGAAGATTAGTAATGCTATTCTAATAATACTAATATTGTCATAGCAATTAATTTTATTACATTATTAATCTTATTATTTTGTTCAGAGTAATCCGCATTCGGGACGACTGAACGGTTTGGTCCCCCCTGGAGCAGCATTCGGTTTCGGATGAAAATATATATATATACAGGGTTGCCGGCGTTCGGGACGGGCCGAACACCCGAACCCGAACGCCCGAACGTTTGGGAACCCCTCTCGACGCGTTCGGACATTCGGCCGAACGCGGAACCCCAAAAAAAAAAAAAAAAAAAAAGTTTCCAAAAATTCCGAAAAAAACCTATGTCATGCAGAAGAATAAACTAAACAACATTTGCCTCAACAGTACATCCAAATTTCTTACCAAATTTGAAATAAAAATCAAATACGAAAAATAAATAATATTAATGAAAATAAGAAAAAATAAAACGACAATCAAATTATTGCGTGGGCGAGCAAGTTTTTGACACCGCCATCTTTGGCGATTTTTCATTTTTTTAAGGCTTTGTCAAATGCCATGAAATTTTATACATCTGTATCTTACGTCATAGAGAACCTACAMATAAAGTTTGAAAAAATAATATTTTTTTTCAGGCCCCGAAATAAAGAGAAAACAAAAAGTGAAAAGAGAAAAAAAACAAATTAGTAACTGGGAAAGCCAGTTTTGACACCACCATCTTTGCCGATTTTTCATTATTTTTTGGCTCCACAGAATGACTTCAAAATTGAGAGACAGGTAGCTTACATAACAGAGAACTCATAAAAAAAGAATCAGAAAAAAATAATAATTTTTAGGTACCGAAATATTTTTTTGCGGGGTCCGAACCCCTTCGAGTTCGGGCCCCGAACGGGGACCCGAACGCCCGAACGTTCGGGGGTCAGCTTAGGGGCCTCCGTACGTTCGGCCTGGCAACTCTGTATATATATATATTTTTTTTGTAAGTTTTCTTTTTTGCGACAACCTCTTCATTGATTGAGACTCCACTTCTTCGAAAAGCTATGAATCACATACCTGAAGCCTGTTGGTGAGGATAATATTAGGGTACATTGCGGCCACATCAAGATGGTATATCAGTGGGCATTCCTCCCGATTTGGAGTGTCCCGCAGGGCCTCGAGCTGCAAATGCAACAGTTGGAAAAAAAAAAAAAAGTCAAGACATGACAATGTCAGCTTGTGAAACACTTATTTTGTAGTCCACCATTGATCTTTCTGACAGTAGCAAACCAGCTCCCCATGAATAGCACCAGTTGCACAACTGCTCTGTGTCAGATATTGTGTTGGTTAGCCACCACCAGACAGGCAGAAAAGATGATACAAAACGTTGAGAAAAGAACAAAGCACCTTTCTTGGCCTTTTCGCTTTGATGTTTTTGACATGGCGTAGGTCTAATTTATATATAGGCTGCATTCCAAACTTTGAAACAAACCCCAGCAAACTATTATTTCTTAATAACCACCAGTACACATCCACACATCCAAGCCTCTTTTGTAAGCGGCGGATTCCCACAACACGCCAAGCTTTTTGTCGAAACGCCAGCACGGCATTTTTGTTTCAGTTTCAGCTAGTGCCGCCAGCCATTTTGGCTCAGTTGCCCCGAGCCTCCGATTCTATTGGAAAGGCTCAATAGTGATTCTCACTTCGCTGGGGCCATGTATTGGTGGTTTACGAGATTGGAGAGATTCCTCATTCTCTTTTGTTTTGGCCAGAAGTCTGAAGGGGAAACTAACGATGTCTATCCATTGTACTCTGTGCAGGGAGTAGTACCTAAGCTCCTAACCCCTACCGAGAGATGGCCAGCCACAGAATCCTGCCAAGACCAGCCAGGCGGGGCAAGGCAACTATCTCAGCTAGTGAACCCCTCATCATTAATGTATTTTGTTTGACATGCTGCCAGTTGCGGGTGGAAACAAACAAACAAACAAGCATTGACCAAACAAGCAAGAGTTGTATGCATTCGTATCGAGTACTATCAACCCTTGAAATTGTAAAAGCCTTACTCATTAATACGCCCATATTTCTTTGATGTGTTCTCAAGTCATCAGAGTTCACGATGACTGAAACGTCGTGAAAAAACTTAACCAAAGATCTCTGATACGGTAGAAAGGTAGCCTCAGTGGCTCTGGTGCTCAAACAATTAGAAGACTAATATTCAAGTTGTCAATGTCCTTTTGTGGGGAATTGACGAGGCTTTCGTTAAATTCGTTTACCATTGTCACACAGTTTGAGAAAGTGTACGAAATGGACTGCATGAGTAGTAAATCTTTGAAGAGCTGGAGAAAACTTTGGACTAGCTTCTCAATCGAGGACTCAGGCCGCCGACAAAGATTGTCAATTGCAGCTGCTACTTAAGCAGCTACAGTACCTGGGAGTGTCACTTGTTCATTGGCATGCTGTGGAAGCGCTGCGGTACGCTTGTGCAATGGTTAGATGAGACTCGTCGGGCGAACCGGCGGAGGAACCTGGCGTGAGGCACCACAGCTAGGGTCGACAGAGAGAGGAGGGAGATGCAGTAGGTCATAGAGTGCGAGCGCCGAGTGCATTCACAGAGAGAGAGAGAGAGAGAGAGAGAGAGAGAGAGAGAGAGAGAGAGAGAGAGAGAGAGAGAGAGAGAGGGAGTACATACCTGTGAGTTTGGGCTTGGCGACCGCACCCGCTCGATACGTGTGTTCGGACAATTGCAACAACTTTGTAATTCGGAGTAATAATTTCGAGATTCTGCTGATGTCTATCTCGTTGCTTTGCTTTGCGAGTGTGGTGTGAAACTTTGGGAGCTTGCATTATTGCGAGGTCTAAGTCAAATTGAGTCAGATCATTGCACTACAATTGATTTGAGACGAATTTGAGCATCGGTCCCTTGCTAAAAGAGAAGAGGCAATTTACTTTTAACAGCCTACTCACTGTATGAGTTTTTCCTCGACTAGATAATAAAGATTGCAAAAAAGCGAAGTAAAAGTAACGACCACGCGTGAATACCGCCATCTTTACAAGAGCTTACCTTTGCCTTAATCTCTGATTTCACCTCCTCATAATTCAGGACAGAAGAAAGTTCCATCTTGCCTTCAACTGTTATTGCATATTGCAAATCCCTGTCAAGATTGTCCAAAAGGTACTTTTTTCACCAATTACCACAACAACATACCATAATCACCTCTCAGATGACCATGTCAAACATACATTGACCCATCCATACCCCCCCCCCCCCCCAAAAAAAAAAAAACACAGCTCACCTCCCACAGAAAGAAACCCCACACAAACGGAACAAACAACAAGCATGTAGCATACAAGCCTGTCAGCACTCATGCAACCAGCATACCTTCCGAAATTGTTCTCAATTCAGAAACTTATCAACATTTCTCACCATTGACGCACCCACAACAGCTGGGTGCAGGCAGGGAAAAGGACGAAGGGAAAAAACCAGCACCACACATAGCTCATGATCAAGGACGGCGCCCTAAGCTCTGTGACCAACGTTTTCCATGCTTTAATGAACAGCAATGTTTGTCCCATCACAAACAGTTTTCGGAGTTCTACAAGCAGTTCTGCCCGTGGCAGATGCAATCTATGTGCAGGGTTGAACCCATGGAACCAGGTCTGCAGATAATCATACCCACTCAAACTGCCGCATCTTGCTCTCTCTCTCTCTCTCTCTCTCTCTCTCTCTCTCTCTCTCTCTC